CCCACCAAGGGGATTACCGCCCCCAGGGGGAGAGGGGGCCACCTCCCCCCTCACTGTGATTGGCACCAAGTGGCAGAGGATGAATGGCAGGCTCGCAAGAGGGACTGGCCGCCTCTGGGATGCCCGTCCCGTACGCCGTCCTCCCTCCCCTCGGCCTCCTCCGCTGGAAGGGCCCCTCTCTCCCTCGGTGCGCGTCGGGCCACTGGGGCGATCGACGGGGGTGTTCTGCCCCCGGAGAAGAGGGGCCCACGGTGCGAAGCCCGACGACCCGCTCTCCCCCTGGTGCCTGGCCTTCCCCTTTCTGCGTCGCCGCCCTGCTGTCTTCCTCCCTCTCTCTCTCCCCGCCGGACCTTTTCCCCCTTGTCCTGCATCCCTGCCGCCTGGGTACTCCCCCAGATCCCGCGCCAATGGTGGGTGCACTGATCGGCGCACTGGCAGCCGCAAGTCAGGCAGCGGCAGCCCAAGACCTGGCTGAGAGGGATTACATACGCATTTATCTGCCGGGGGCCGCCTCGTTTCTCCGTCCCCCCCCCCCCCCCTCGCCCCCTCCGCTCCTGACTCAGGCAGTGATTCTCTCGAACCGGAGAGCCCCAGAGAGAGGGAGGCACATGCGTGAAACGTCGGTGTGTCCGGGTCGTGACTATTCTTTTTTCACATATATTCCTCCTGTGTCAGGGTATGCCCCTCCTTGGCCGGGAGTCAGCGAGTGAGGAGGCTGGTGCGCTCGGCGCAAATAAATGAGACCCCTCCCTTGCCCGACGTTGGCCATCGCTGAAAAACGCCGTCCACGGCGCGCACGCTGGCTCCCTTTGATCGCCGGGCAAGGGCCCCCTTGAGCGCCGTCTCGCGAGCGGCGGGGCCGGAGTGCCGTGGAAAGGCTCTCCGGCAACCCCCCTTCCCGGCTGGACAGGGGGGGGGGGGGGCGAGGCGATGGTCGGCGGTTGCGTCCTGCTCGCTCCTCGGCGGGCGCTGTGTTCCTTCGCCGCTCGCTTTTCTCTTCTTCGGCGCGCCGGGAGGTCATGCTTCGTGCCGGTCTCTCTGTGTGTGTGTGTGTGCGGGGGGGGGGGGGGAACCTCGTTGACTGGCTTCGTCAGCGGCGTGGCCGATCGGGCGAAGCTTCCCTGAGTCAGGCCAGAGAGGTGCTCCTCACCCTGGGGACTGGCACCGTGGTTGACCTGGGCCCACTCGCAACGGTGGAATGCCGGTGTCATTATGAGTGCCCGTTCCCCCCCCCCCACGGCCGGCTCGTGCCAGGTGCGTGGCCCCGGCCCCGGTCGTCCCACGCTCAGTCCGGATGGGCCCCGCACCACTCAGGGCGGCCCGCATACCCCCGACGGTAGGGCCGGGGGGG